GAGTGGCGTCATATTAACTCGATAACCATGTTTAGGAATAACATAAGTTCTTAAATTTGCTGGATGATTCGGGCATTTTGGTTCAAGGTATAGACTCGGGCTAAATGATTGACTTGAGAAACACCTCTAAGAATTTTGTTAATTTCAGTCCAGTCAAAATTGGACCTAGAGGTCATGCTGTGTACTCTAATCCCTTGAGTTCTCAAGCGAAGGAAGTTGCCTAAATCTTCTTTGATAATTTCTACATGTTGTTTTGGGACGAAATAACTTATCTTAGAATTATCATCAGTGACTCTCATGTTGGCTAAGAAATAATAAAAGATTTCTTTGTGATATGTGTAGTTAAGAGTGAGAATGAAGGATAGTTGAGTGGAGGAAAACAGAGGCATAACAAAAAAAATGAAGATCATCATGGATAAGTAGTCGAGATGCGGTGATCTTTGCATCACTGAATCTAAAGTATGCATCTTTAAACTTTCTTAGATAAGAAATTAGAATCAGAAGCAGAAGAAGAAGAAGTTCCTTTAGAACCTCGAGGACGCTTGCTAGAAAGACACGGGCTTTAAAGAGTTTTGAAAGGAAAGAAAGTGAATAAAAAACGATTTCAAAACCCTTATATATAAAGAAAAATGGCAAATCATACTGTATGAAATTTATGTCGTACGTACGATCGTGAAATCGTACGGACGTACGAACGAAAACTGTCAAAGATGAAACAGCTTTTCGTAAAACATTATTTGCGAGGCATCCTTTCGTACAGGCTTTTTGACCACTCGATCGTACATACGAATAGGCGTTCGTCCGGGACAATCAGAAAATTTAAGACCGTTTTAAAGGCGGTTAGGTTCGTCCCCTACATAAATTTACACCTAGATCGTACAGACGAAGACGACTTCGTATGTACAATAAAAAATAAATAACTGAACCTAACTGATAAAAACGTCCCCATTCGTACAGACGAACCCATACTAATCGTACAATATGAAACCTTTAAAAAATTGAGGTTCTGCGTGTTCAACTCCCAAAACAATCATGTATACGCTACATAATTCATACAAGATGAATATATATTTGTACAATGTGAATAAAACACAAATACAATACATAAAAATTAGTGAAACTTCTAAAAAACAAGGGACATGCTTCCATTTTTTTATTTAAAAAAACACAAAACAAAAAACAAAACAAGGAAAATAATTACACAAAAATATCAAAACTAAAACAACAAAAAAACAAACTAAAATTAACACAAACATAAAACATATCAAGTTTGCAGAACATTTAAGTTGAGCATTTATATCAATCACACCTAACTTTATCCTAAGTGCTAAAAATGTCAAAGGTTAGTGGTTTTGTAAAAATATTTGAAAGTTAATTTTCTATAGAAACGTGACTCAATTCAATTTTTACTTTGGCTACATGATCTCTAATGAAGTGATGCCTTATGTTTATATATTTTGTTCTAGAATGTTGAATAGGATTCTTTGAAATGCAAATGACACTAGTGTTATCACAAAAAATAAGAATTGTGCCAACTAAAAATCCTAAATCAATCAACTATTGCTTTAACCAAAGTATTTGTGCCATACAACTTCCTAAGGCAATGTATTCAGCTTCAGCAGTATACAGGGCTACAAAATTTTGTTTCCTACTGGACCAAGAAACTAAGAAATTTCCTATGACTTGACAAGTTTCAGATATACTCTTTCGATTAACCCTACAACCTGCAAAGTCTGAATCAAAATATCCGATAATTTGAAATGAAGAGTTGTACTTAGGATACCAAATCCATAAGTTTTGAGTTCCAAAAAAAATCTCAAAATTCTTTTTACAGCTATCAAATGTGATTCTTTTGAATCATATTGAAATCTAGCACACAAACATGGACTAAATATTATATCTGGTTTGCTAGCAGTCAAATAAAGCAACGATCCAATTATTCTTCTAAATTTTTTTTGATCAATATATTTTTCTTTTGGGTCCTTATCCAACTGAACTGAGGAACTTATAGGTGTAGTTACTGGTTTAGCATTGTATATTTCATATTTTTTGAGGATGTCTTTAATATATTTCGACTGACTAAGAAAAGTTCCCTCCTCATTTTGCTTAATAAACAATCTATATGATTTTCCTATATTAGAGTATCCAAAAAAAATTTCTTCATTAGATTTGGATCAAATTTTTTTAAAGGAGATTTTTCATTATTATGAATGAACACCTTATATCCAAAAATATGCAAATATGACAAATTAGGTGTTCTCCCCTTAATAAGCTTATAGGGTATTTTATTTAATTTTGATCTAATGTTCACCCTATTTAGAACATAACAAGCTGTACTCACCGCTTCAGCCCAAAAATATTTAAGAAGTGAATATTCTGTCAACATGGTTCTAGCAGCTTCAATTAATATTATGTTCTTTCTTTCGACTTCCCCATTCTGCTGAGGGGTCTTAGGTGCTGAAAAATTATGATCAATTCCTTTTTCTTTACAAAATTTATCAAATTTTTCATTTTCAAATTTACCTCTATGATCACTTTGAATTGAAATAATTTCATATTCTAGTTTTCTTTGAATCCAAGTTGAAAAATTTTTAAATTCCTAAAATGATTCACTTTTATGAAATAAAAATTTAACTCAAGTGAATCTTGAAAAATCCTCAACAATCACACATCCATAAACCTTCCCTCATAGACTTACAGTGTTAACCGGTCCGAAAAGATCCATGTGAATAATTTTTAATGGTTTGATTCCATTTTAACTTAATTTTATGAATCCCGCTCTGATACCATTTGAAAGTTCGTTAAGGATGTTAAACCCTTATGAACTAGTCCCAAGGCTAACCAAGAGGGGGGTGAATTGATATTTAAAAAAATCTTTCGTTCAAAACATAATCTTAAAACAGAAAACCAAGATTCACAACATAAATTTAAAGTGCGGAAATTAATGCAGAAACAGTAATAAAAAAACATAGGAATTTATAGTGGTTTGGTCAACACGACCTACGTCCACTCCTCGGAGGTGCCCTCCGAGTATTGCACTAAACTCAGTGTCTCTCCTTTTGCCCCCACAGCAAGGCGGAGAAGCCTTTACAAACCTCCTTTTCATTAACTCAAGTGAGGCAGAGAACCCAACTCCTTTTGCTTCCTCCAGAAGCATGCAGAGAACCCAACTCCTTTTGCTTCCTCCTGAAGCAGGCATAGAACCTTGATCAGATGGTGAAGTTTATCTCTCCAGAACCCCTAAGGAACTAGGGACGACAACTAGAGAAGACGACGACGGATCCTTGCTTGGAGCAACCTTTGTGAACTCCCTCACAAGATCCTCTCTCTCTCTCTCTTGCTCTCCCTCTTCTCTTGGCTATCTCAGGTCAAAACAACAGCAAAAGATGTTCTAAAGGGTATCAAGAGCTCTTAAATAGAAGAGTTTCGGAATAGCTCATTAATTGCAACTTGTCGACATTATTGTCCAGGACGATGTCAATATCGTCATGTACGATCAGTACAATTTAAGCTTAATCAGCCAGGACAATCTGGGATGATCAGAAGAAATTTGTTCATATCGTCCAAGACGATAATATATCGTTATGTACGATTAGTACAAATCGAGGAATATCGTCCTGAACATCGTCCAGTGTATAGTCCCGGTCGATCCTGCGATCGTCCAGGACAATGTGATCGAGCAATCAATCCTTAATTACTTTCCTTAATTACAAGATTAATTTAGGCATAATTGTGCTGCATCGTTCAGGACGATGTCCAAAAATAATTAATGCTTAAATAGATCTGGCGGCTGATTCTTTCTGATTTTAGCCTATCATCCCGGCCGATACAAATATCGTCCAGGACGATGTGCTTAATGACGGCTGCCTTAACCAGGATGTCCTAATTAGGCTTTCTGTTTTTGAATAGATCGTCCATGACAATTTATGGATAGTCTCGGACGATATTACCAAAAACAGTAAACTCTATGAAACAATCAGAAATTCTCCCAAAGTGTGTATGTGCAAGGTTACTTAGCATCAGGAACCACATCTATTACAATAGACTCAAGAAAGGAAAAAAAGGTTACAAATTGACTTAGACCTAGTCTACCCAATCTCGAGCTGGTTCAAATTCCAGTCTGATCTTTGTGGACCTGAAATATTAGTAGGCAAGGCAGTCGTAGAGAAACAGAAATATTTGCTATCATCAAAATCATATTTCCTGAAAAACAGATTCGCAACAGAAGGTATAACAGGTGCACGAGGCTCCCACAAACTGTAGGTTTGATGAGGGGCTGACGTACACAGAATGACTCCCGTGTTTTGCAGAGGTGATGTTTCTTTGGTTTGAATAAACCACCTCTAAATGATTTGGGGAAGCCGAAAATTGCATCTGGTTTACCAATAGTTGCATTTTCTTAGTGATCTGAACAATGTCCTTCAACTTTTTTGTTGAGTAGTCCTCTTAGCTCATCTTTGTGGTAATACTTCTTAAATGTTTTATTAAGAAATCAAAATACTGCAAATAATTGTAATATCTTTCTTGAAGTTTATGCTTTGTTTTGCAAGGGCTACAAGTATTTTCCTTTTCGGCTTTTGCTTTTTTAGTGGTTGCACGGGGCTTTTGTGCCATTGATATCTTGCATGAGGAAGATAGCTCTTGTTATGATCTGCAGGCCGTTGCAAGATTTTTTTGTGTTAGTCTGTATATTCACTATCAGCTTAATCATCTGTAAGAATTATGCGAGAAGCATCATAAGCCCACTCATGTTTTCGAGATTCACAAATTTCTGTACTTTATAATAGTAATTATGATATCCTAATTTAACAAATTGTTCGAGTTTTTGGTACCTGCACAGCCCAGAATTAATTATATTCTGACTTATGAGATACAAAACCTTTTTGTTGGCAGCAGTTTCTTATAATGATGAAGTCTAGTTATTCTCTTTTTCATTTATAGCTTATGCCATTTATTAGGACTTTTTACCATCTAACTCATGGAATGTCTGCATTTTGAAGGGTGCAAAACGCATTAGTTGGAACAGTACTGACATGTAAGAACTTACCTTGGTTTTTTTTCCTTTCTTTTCTTTTTCAATAATGAGATTCAGTTACTGTTCTTCAATTTTATGTGAGCTATTATTTTACATTTTATGATGCAGTTTTGATGATGAAGATGAAGTCATCTTAAATGTCAAATGCCATTATTTGCAAGCTAATGTAGCTGGTTTTATCTTGAATCTTGGAGATTGTGCTCATGTGAAGGTCAGACATCATTTTGAGCCGGTTTTTCAGTACTTCAGGACCTTAATTTTTCCTTATAAAAATATAGTCAATAGTTGCATATATGCATATACGTGCAGTAAGTTAGGATTTGATCGAATTGATGAGGTTTGATCTAATTGGATGAGGTAAGCTCCTTTTCCCTGACCTTTAATAACGACCAATGAGATTTCAAAATAAAATTTAAGATCATCACTCTGAATTAAACTTTTAGAATATCCTAAAATGTACATTTTATGAAGTTTTATGATAGTTTGGCAAAGTATTACGAATAATAGAAAAAACATTGTAAAAAAAAAAAGAAAAAAAAAACTACTTTAAATTTTATTACTTGATTTTGTGAATGTTGTGGAAGTATTTGTAGACTTCCTAGAAGGCTTACAAAAGAAATAAATCAAAGTTATGTATAAAAAAAAGTCCTCATAAGGGTCACATCTAGAGTAGGAAGAGGAGGCACATTGATTGCATTTTAAGGGCATCCAATGATTAGAATAGTTAGTTCGTGTATTCAAAGGATCCTTACCAAGATTGTTTTTCTTGTGGGTCCCACAATCCTTCAACACCTCCCCTCAAATTGAATAGTAAAAAAAAACTATTCCAAATTTGTTTAAAATATTTTTAAATGTGAGGTTACAGAATCCTTTGATGAAAATATTTGCAAATTAATTTTTGGTTAGCACGTATGGAGTGCGTTGACCTTCGTATGTGTTTCACGCCTAGTTCAAGTGAGTATGACAAACGATGGACAATGGATGCAATGTCAACCTTGAATTATTTTGGCTGCAAAGAAAATTGCTCAAACACAATTCATTTGTAAAACGAACAACACAATTGCTTATGAACATCAAAATTATCAAGAAAGGACCCTTTGTGTTTTTGATTTGAGTGAATGTGGTAAAAAATGTCTAGCTATAAATGCGACATTGTATATTGTCTGTTTGAGAGAAGGCCTGTGATGTTGCATTTGAAATATCAAAATTAATATGATAGGACACTTATATTACCAGTGTTCATCAATGAGAGAAATGACAAAATTCATTCGTGTGTGAAACAAGGATGAAATTTAATGCCCAAGAGCGATGAAAATTTGGTTAGCGAATTGACGTGCAGTCGAAATAGATTTATGTTTAATATTATTACTAAAATTTATACCTAATTTAAAATTAGTATTTTAGAAAATAAAAAAAATATTGTATTTAAGTCAATTTAAAAATAAATAAGTTGGAACCTTCTCGCAAAATATATCACGTCCTTTTGCTGCAAAAGATTTTTTAATTAAAAAAAACACAAAGGACATGAAAACGAACAAATTAAAATAAAATCCCTTCTTTATCATACCCGACTTTGTCATGCACGCCTCTAGCCGGTCAACCACATCTAATGCGCCATCGACCAACCAACCTTCCTACACGCTGTTGACCGGTCGACCTCCTCCTAGCTCGCAGCGATAGGCTCTAGCCAATGACCTCTTTTAGCCACCGTTCCCAACTGATCCCAAGCAGTTGTCACCGATCCTAGGCCGTTGCTTGAGCACCTCCAGATGTTGTCAACCCTCCAACTAGCCATGTAAACCCCTCTCTTCCTTCTCTTCCACACTCTCTCTCTCTCTTCCCCTACATCTTCTCTCTTGCTTTCACTCTCTCTCTCTCTCACAATCTTTTTCTCTCCAATTCTCCCTCTTCTTCCACTTTCACGCTCTTCCACTCTTTCCCTCACTCAATCTCCCTCTTTCACTCTCCCTCTCACGATCTCTTTCTCTCTCTAAATAGATCTCTTTCTCTTACTACCCTATTTCCTTTCTTGCTTCACTCTCTCCCGTCTCTCTAAAAATGTTAGAAAAAAATCTTGTGTTGTGTTCGCTCACAAACCTGCTTCATCATCATCAACTTCATCAACGCCTTCATGCACACATGTATAAAATGCAACAACTCAAAATCTTCAAAATCTCATTGGTGATGTGTTTTGTGCAGTGAGTGATGTTTTTTTAGCATGACGAGGGATACTCATCAACATTTGTGATGTGGCTGGTAAATACCTAAAGCCTCATTAGAGGTGCATTTGGCATGACGATCAGAACTCATGCATGTTTTTTTAGTGCGGCAAGTGAAACACATATGCAACTTTTGGGACATGGCAGGCAAATCCTTCAAAATTATGTTTACGATACATTTGGTGCGGCGAGCAAAACCTATACAAATTTTTCCTAGCATGGCAGGGAAACTCATCGGCGTATTTTGCGATGTAGCGATAAATTCCTAAAATTTTATTTGCGGTGCATTTGGCGTAACGAGTGAAACCTGTGCAAGCTTTTCTCAGCATGACAAGGTAGACTTGTGGACGACACTTATAATGCGAAGGGTATAATTTATGTATGTTTTTCTTAGCGTGGCGGGGAAAGTCATTTGTTTTTGCTATTTCTCTAATGCATGTATCAATTGCACACCTTTTTGGCACAACGGGTTTTAAAAATTTCTTCCATGGTGTCTTAGGACACCATACACTTTTTTCTTGGCGTGGTGGGTGTAGGGGAGATGCCGGAAGATTTTCAGAATTTAAGACTGAACACACTTTGGAAAATTGCTCATAGGGGACCTAAAATAGTTAAAATGCACTACAAGAAACTCTATAAAGAGTAAAATCTTGAACTATAACATGAAAATACTAAACTTACTGAGAACTTGAAATACTTGAAATACTTTCAAGTTCGCTAAGACTGTGAATATAATTTCTTGTGACAACTCATCGCAACAAACCAAGTGAATCCAAGAACAGCGAAAATGAACTACTATTCCTCTATATTTATAGGGGATAAATGAACTCCCATGGTACCCATGTCATTTAAGGAAATAATCATTTTAAAATCATGAAAAGGATGACATATGAAAAATGTGTTGACCTTTATATGTCTCAAATATGCATTTGTCACCACCAGATACATAATATTTTCATACAAATAAACATAAGACGATCGTTGAAAACTCAAAATCTATGTTGCACCGATGCGGATACGGCGATACGAATACGATACGATACGGATACGGGACACGCCAATTCTTAAAATAACATGATACGGATACGGCGCGGAAGCCGCGGATACGACATTATAATATATTAATAATACATAAAAATTAATAAAGTAATCAAAGTGTAATATTTGAAATGACAAAAAAATTGAAATAAAAGTAAGCATTAAATATTGAAATGTCTAGTACAACAACAAAAACAAGAAGATAAATTACCAAGCACATGAAATTTCAACTATTTAATAGAAGGAATGATAGGATTAGCTTCTTCAGTGGTTTGTCTTTGAGTTTCTATATCATCTTCAATAAATATCATAGCTTCTAATTCAGGCTCATCAAGTGAAAGATTAGCAATTTCTAATATTCCCATATCCTCAAGAGATTCAAATCCATCTCTAACAGCATCCTAAATCTTGTTGTCTCCATCCATATAAGTTGGAGTTTTTCTTGAGAGAAGTCGAAGGTTTGTATGCACGTAAACTAAATCTTCAGCCCGTTGTGGAGTAATTTTATTTCTCTTCATTGATTGGATGAATGAGTATGTGCTCCAATTTCTTTCACAACAGGATGAGGATGAAACTTGGCCAAACAATTTTATGGCGATTGTTTGAAGTAGAGGTGCTGAAGCTCCATGTATAATCCACCACATTTTCGGATCAATTCTCCACCTATCACGCAATGACTCTTGGTCACCAAAGTCCTCTAAATAACCAAAAAATTTAGCAAGCTCAATATTGACACTTCTTCTCTCCTCCTCATTTGGAAAATAACGCTTCAAACATGTCTTCCTCATATTTGAAATTTCTAAATCTTTCTGTGGAGAAACTCTTTGAGAATCCTCTTGAAGCCATTCTTTAGTTGAATATCTTCAAATAACATTAAATGAAATAATGAGAAAATGTTGAAATTACAAAACAACAAATTGTGAATTCATAATGAAAAAATGTTGAAATTTACCTTGGATTTAGTGAGTGAGCCAAGCAATGTAAAGGTGTATTACTTTTGCTCCACCTATCTTCTAGAATAGCATAGATAACATCCAAAAGCTTGAGTCTTCATGAAGTGTCTTCCTCTCATGTCTATATATAATTTCTTTTACTTTGGCTAGCATTGAATCCCACATCTCATAAATGAGATGTAAACAAGACTTATCCGTATCAGCTACTCTCAACATTTCATAAATTGTGGTCTGTGAAATTTATGATGTTCATCTCATCCCACCAAAATCATCTAAAATCTTCTCTTTTACATACCTAGCCTTTCCAACTTCATCTTTCCTATAACATGACCATTTGTCATGATCACCTAGCTTGAAGAGCATTTTTTCTTTTTTGAATCTTCTCAACATCACTATTACTGAGGCAAACCGAGTTTCAGCAACTGCAAGCATCTTTAAATTAGAGAAATCATTGAACATAGAGAGTCTCATGGAGTGATTCATAATAAAATTTCTAATTAAATTGCATCTCCAGCAATCACTGTTATCCAATGACATTCATTATAGGTGATTTCATTTGCCTCGGTATTCTTAGCTGCACAAATGTTCTTCAAAGCAAGATTAAGCGTATGCACAACACATGTGTCAAAAAATATGAGGATATGCTTGCTCTATAAGTAGACCTGCAGCTCTACAAACAGGTGATTATCAGTAATGACCTGAATGATGTTTGAAGGCCCCACCATCATGATAAATTCTTTGATTAAATTAGAAATGAAGAACTTATCCTTGTACTGTCCTTCACAGTTTACAGCTTTGATAAACATAGGATAGCTCTCTGTTACAGCCATGAAGTTGATAAGTAGTCTTCTTTGTGGATCTGTCCACCCATAAAACCAAAGTAACTCCTTTTTCTTCCAAACTCCTCTAGTAAGCTCGAGCAACTTCTCAATATTGTCCCTCTCTTTGCAAACAACTTCGTTCTAATGACGTTATATCCTGGTGGCAAGTATCCTGCAAGA